GAGAGAGAGAGAGAGAGAGAGAGAGAGAGAGAGAGGAGCAGGGTGGAGAGAGGAGGCAGGGTTGAGGCTATATAAGAGGGGGCAAGCAGTTCATTCCTTTGCATTAGTGTGCCATCTCAAGCAAATGGATAGAGCAGCCAAAGGAATTTAAAGCAGAGAACTCAGTTTGGAAAAGGCGCGTTCGCTTTGGGGGCGAGGCTTTGATGTCCGCTTCATGACAGCAAAAGCTCATCTCTTTCACCACCATCACCTTTAAATGCAACAAGTCCCCACCAAGGAAGGAAACGCAAATGTGATGTTGGTCTGAAACGGTACTACTGCTGCTGGTTCGCCTCATCTGATCCTGCGAGTCCACTGTTCACGTCAATTCGGATCGTAATTTTCACAAGTAAACGTATTCGTATCAAAACAATTCATATATGAGTCGAAGATCGAGAGAGAATTGTTCACTAAGAACTGAAACAACCGAGTGAGTGACAATATTAAATTGGAATCAAAATTAAAAAGAGGTTGTATGTCGACTGTAGCTATTGAGTAAAAAAAATAATAAGAATAAAATCAAACCATAGTTTGGGCATATCCTCGTGAATATGGAAGAAGGACAACTCCAGTCGACTAAGCAACAATAGTTTCATATTGTTGAGAATCCGTGGACGATCAAATCACCTAAATCATGATGTATTTATTTGGAGTCTTCACTGGCCATGAGACTAAATTTGCATGTCCTCCGACGAAGAGATTTAGTATGGAAGTTAAAATGATGTTGTCGTCCATGTAGACTTTATACGAATCACATCATATGGTCTTCTTGTTTGTTGGTCCTGCTTCCAACCAGCTTGCTTTATCCATGACCTTTTGTCAAGTGCTTTCCTGACTCACATCGAAAAATGCCTCCAACTACTTGAGAACATCAAAAGAACAGTCGCAGTTGAGTGGGTTAGATTGTGCTATGAATCAAAAGCTGGGAAAAAGCTGCAGTTAGCAGCAGCTTTGGATCTCTCAGCACAAAGGATTCACCTCCCTTTCCTAGCACATAATCATTATCTCTGCCATCTGGTTCTGCCAAAAGACCTACAAGGAAGGAGCAGGTGCCTGATAAAGAGAGAGAGAGAGAGAGAGAGAGAGAGAGAGATGGGAGCAATTAACATGGAGTAGCAATTTAGCATGCCGGTGATGGGTGTGGCTGCCAAATTGGAACGAGAGGGGAGGGAGTGTCATCTAAACAATGCAAAGGCTCCCTCGCTGCTTTAGTCAATGGCTGGCTTTGCACCAAATAATTGCAAAAGGCGCATCTCGCTTTATCTTTTGATTGGAAAAAGCATGTGCTTTTCTGGGTTCGCACAGCTCTCGCTACATTATAAAAAGCCTCCCATTACTAAAAGTTGGAACTGATTTGGTTGGAAAGGCCACGCTGCCATGTCGCCCACTTTCTTTCCTAGTCTCTGCTTATCCTGTGTTTACGACTCTTTATTACGAGTCGTCTTTGAGAATAAGCAAACATCTTTAGCTTTTCCTACTAACTAAACATAACAAAATGATTGAAAGATTAATGCTCTAATTTTCGTTATCAATTTCTTTTCGGACAAGGGTATTTTTATTATAAACTCTAATTTTCTTCATGAGTTAATCCAATCCTTGAAGGATTTCTCTCGCCGTCTTTAGGTAGATCAGAAAGAAATTTTAGGAACACCGAGGTGCTCAACGACCAAGCCATGTTTTCTTAAGTAATTTAGTTACTCATTCTCTAAATAACATGGCTCCGGGATTTTTTTTTTTAAAAAAAAATACTTATCAATTTGTATATGATAAAAAGTAATATAAATACATACATATATAAATATAATTATTAGGACACAAGCTAGCTGCTTCTTTTCTAACGACAGGTAATGTGGGTACGACAGGTTCTGCCATATATAAATACAGCAAGGTATGTATGCCACATGCCATCCGACTTTTTCTATAAACAGGAATCTAATGATGAAGACGGGAAGGGTTGTGGCTAGGAAATACGAGGATTTTGAGGTCAAGCATGTAACAAGAGGAAGCGATGAAGCAGCAGCTCACCTTCCTGCAACAATCTGTTGCTAGCGTGGAAGAAGAGAAGGTTTGGTTTGGTTTGGTGTGGTATGGTATGGTGGTCTACCAAATGGGACTCTTAAAGCTGCGCCCAATTATGCTATGTTGATCACTTGGAACTCTTTCGTGAGAGCCTACTTTTTATTTCTTTTTCCTCGCCCCTTTACTCTTTGAGAAAGATATGCATGAACGGCCGCTTTTGGTATTTTCCAACAGAAAAAAAGGAGATCAAACAAATGTAAAGGTCGATGGTTGAGAGGTTCACCTGTTCCCACTTAGGTTTTCTTTTGAAGTATGCGTCGGGACCATGGCTCACGAATTGGATACGATGGAATGGACATTGCCCGAAAGATGAATCACCATAAGTGAGCTTCGAGGTTGATTCGGTCCGGCCAAATAGCAATGCCTGCATAAGAAGGGTTTGCCAAAGGCTGCACATCTTCTAAAGCATCTTCGTGCGAGGAGGCTGTGAAGTTTCTATACAAAACGAGATGGAGAGCATCCATTGTCCAGCGCAAAGAGTGGTCTTTTGTTATGAAAGCAACACAGCCACTTTTAGAATAACGCATGCGAAAAGTGGACAATTTGAATAAAAGATAGTGGGTTGTTTCACTATTTAGGTAATGTATTTTCTTTTATCCAAAGGCATCGACGGGGTGAAAGCATAACTAACCAAAATGGAACCAAATGCCGATTTGGTCGAGTCTAGACTTGACCCCTTCGATAACTTTTATAAATTAAAGGGCATTTTTTTTTTCTTTTAAGAATCAAATGGTCTAACTAGTAATCAAATCTGTCAAGAATCTGATTTCCCAGTCCGATCCGGGATTTATAAAGTTGAAGCTTGAAGACGACACTCTTTTTCTGATAGTAATCTACAGTCAAAGCCCAAACTTCTTTAAAGCTAAGGCCAGGCCTCTTTGAATAATACCGTCCAAGGAAGAACCTATAAATTCGAAAGCTGTTAGTTATAAAAAAAAAATCACAAAAATAGAACAAAAGGAGTAATTATTAACGAATCCATATCTCAAGAGACAACTGGATTCTTATGCTGAACCCCTCGTGATTTCCCAACAAAAAGAAATGATCACATGCGTGAGTGGGACACATAGCAAAAAACACATAAGGTGTGGCCCACGTAGATGTGGCAACTGCACTATCCAGTTTCAGGCTTCACCAAAAGGAAAATGTATGCAACGAATATATTAGATGTTGAAACCCATGGCTGGAGGAGGATCCTCGTAAATGTCAAGATTGAAATCATACGTTTGGAACAAATGGGTAGAAGTTGTAACCTGGCCAATCTACATACAAAGGAGGTGAGCCTTGTTTAGGACAGGAACAGGAGGCGCACTCTGGGAGAAAGATGTCTCTGTTTCTGTACAGATGATCAAATAACCAGCTATAACCTGCAAAAACCAATAATAAAACTCGCCAGTGAGATAGTCAATTAGGTGCAAGTTTGGGATTCAACTGTCGACGTTCATGACCAACAATTTTAAGAATAGTATTGTAAATGTAACATTTCTAAACCAGAAACTCAGTAGCTAATCCTAGAAGGTCCATCACTACAACTACACGTGAATAGTTAGGATACTGATATTGGTCATTAAACGTGAATAATTAAGATACTGACATTGAATTGTTTATATGACGACGATTGAAACCTAAGATGTTTGAAGCTCCTGTTACAACTTAGTAGAGAAACTACTTTACAGCTAAAACCGGCAGGAACTAAATTACAGTTGCTGTACATGTCACCGTCCACATAAAACATCAGCAGAGAGAGTATTCGCAGTCAAGCAGGCGGGTGAGGATTTCCTGACAGCTTGGTCGCTCATCAGGTTCTGCCCAGCAGTCTACAACAGATATGCAAAATAGCTATTAGTTGATTAGTAAAATAATATACTTGGATTTCAGAACCAGTTATAGCTTCAAATTTGATGTACCGGAAATTAGGCTGCTGAGAGGACCTTCAGGTATAACCAGCCTTTTCCCTTCATTAGCAATGGCATACACCACCTGACAGCAGAAAACAACATGACGATGGCAGTTCCTTTAGACGATTATGTGGCAACAGAACATATTTTGGACAAGAACTAAACCATAGCTCACCTGAACAGGTGTCATGCCTTCCCATGGCCTATTCAGAGTGCAAAGTTCCCACATTATGACTCCGAGGCTAAATATATCACATTTCTCTGTAAATGGTTCATTGCGTATGAGTTCAGGAGCCATCCATTCTGGGGTTCCCGCAGAGGAGTTATCTCTCATTGGACCAGCTTTCATTACCCGCGAAAGACCAAAATCACAAATCTTAACTGTCCAATGTTTATCCACAAGACAATTTGCACTTTTTAGATCACGATGTACTATTTTCATACGATGTATGCACATCAGCCCCCTTGAAACCAAGAAACAAGTAATCAGGTAATACTAGAAAAATGCTTGTTCCATAATTTTATTACGATAACAATAAAAAAATTGTAAGTCCCAACTATTTAGGGTCGGCTATTTTTCATAATTTTATTACTAGCATTAATTCATGAAAAATCTATACTATAGAAAGGATAATTGGAAGGAAAAAATGTCATTGAATAGTTAATCATTCTAGGTGGACCATAACTGATAATTTACTTGTGGGAATAACTCTAGTGATTCACATGTCTTGGCCGTTGAATAACTTTAACAAATAAAAGGAGTGGAAAATCACTTATGAACTTTCCCAAAATGAGCAAGCAGAGCCAAATGGTAAAATGTTGCCAAGTGGAGTCAAGTAGCATGTGCCAGTATGGGTGAAAGATATTTGGAATGGGCCATGCCATACACATGCTGGAGGTGCCAACTTATGGCAAGAATCTTTTGTCTATATTGGGTGTAATACTATAAATGCATTAGCAAGGATTTTAATTTCGAATAATACCATCCGTACCGGGCGGTATGTACCGTTCCGTCTGCAGACCGATACGCGGACCGCCCACTATTGGGCGGTAGCATCGATTGGGGCTGTTTCCACTTCGTTATCATCCTAAATCGATCGTCACCGCCCGCTACTGAATGGTATTAACAGAGGGAGAAGAAAGAAGGAGAAGAAAAGAGAAAACCTAAAGATCCGACTCTGCTCTCCCTCGACGATCCTGATCTGTCGCCGCCCTTCCTCGCCGGATGCCGCAGATGATGTCGCCTCCTCATCTGAGGCGATAAGGCCTTGTCATTGTCGGCGACTTCTCATCGGCGTGGGGAGAGAAGAAGCCTCGGCGATGTCGCGAGGAGAAGTGGTTTATTCTCCCCACGCAGGCAGAAGGAACGAGGCGTTTCTTTTTTTACTTTTTTGCATGGGGAGAAGCAACCCTCGGTTTCTTCTCCCCACGCGGGTAGAAACCGAGCGACGTCGCCCTTTCTTTTTTTTTTCGCATAGGGAGAAGGGAACAGTTTCTTCTCCCCATGCGGGCAGAAACCGAGTGACGTCGCCTTTCTTTTTCCTTTTTTGTTGCACGTGGAGAAACCGGGTGACGTCGTCTTTCTCTCTTTTGTTTTTCGTGTGGGGAGAAGGATATA